TAAAGACATCCCAATATCTCGTCCAACTCTGCTAGGCTGACTACTAGAATGGCTGCCAATCGAGAGGCTTTAGAAAACTGGTAAGTTTAATATTATCCCTAGCTGAATAAATTGTTTTGTTGCCGTGTTATTGCAAACATTAGCTACTTTACATCACACCCCATTTATTTTTCACTTGGAAAACATAGTTTGCTTCCAAGTTGTACAAGTGTGATGTAGGGTAGTGTTTTAGCAAGATGTGGGGCTCACCTTTTTAGTTTCGATACACGCTGCGTTTTTGTTTTTCAATCCCACTATACAATACAATTAAACAATTCAATTTAAAATGAGTTCTGGAAAATACCCATTCTATTTATTTATTTAGCCCTGGTTGAGATGATGATTTTACGCGTATCGCAACTACGCGCGCAAATTGTTCGTGGCATTGGGCAGCCATTTTGAATTACCGGTCTCTTGACGACTTGTCTTCAGAGAGAGATAAATTCAAAATAATTATTATTTATGCTGCTAGACTTGGCTGTGAAATAATTTCTGCAGGTTGGGTGCGGTATTGTGACGTCTGTAGTGGTTTTATTTCAGTAGCCATAACTAGACTTCGAATATTATGTTAATTTGTTATGCCTGTGTGAAGAGCTGTTAGTAGAAAAGTTATGATTTCCTTTGTATATAGTAATTTGTTTTTATGGTTTTACCATGGTCGTAAATCTAATTGCATGGGGTGTACATTGAACTGGTTGATCACGAGGGTGGGGTATTGAATGGATTATTACTAGGAATACATAAGTATGGCAGATAATAGGCACAGAACACGCTAATGTACGCTATTTGTTTTGAGTTTTGGATTCCCATGTCAACACGCTGGGTTGTCGCATGATTTTTACGCTGTTTTGTTTTGACTTTGGCATGCTTTAGTAGTTATCTATTTTCAGATTTTAGATATTTGTTTAAACCTGTAAAAGAAATATTTGAAGTGTACTTTTCAGAGTATAAGTTATGTTGTTAATGCAAAACAACAGTTGTTTTAGTTTAAGTGGCCACAAAATCCAGTTTGTGCTGGATATTTTCGTACATCAGAAATGACTAAAAGTCTATAAAACTCGAATCACTGTTTCTAAAACCGTTACCTATCAATCAAAGCATGACGCGAACAGTTACATTCGGAGTTAAAAACTTACTTAACTACATGAGTACTGGAAATTACTGCTTTCGTTCACCGAACAGAAATTAAATAGCTAATACAACAGCTACTTAATTTGGCAGCCATGTTTTTGCAATATGGCAGTGAAGCGACAAGCAACTGTCGCGTCGATACCATCTGTTCACCGCTGTTGTTTTCTGTTTTAACCGACATCTTATGGTTAGTAAAGAACCAGGGAGGTATTAATTATTTTTATTACGCAGGAACTACTACTGAACATATAAAAACGGTTTATAGGAACTAAAATTACCACTTGCACGATTTTATCCTGTTTTGATAGTCCCCGAATGGTCCTAAGTAGGGATTGTTATTCTTTAGTTTCACAAAGCATAAAAAATTAAATGATTAGGTACACATAATGATAGTCTCTTTAAAATTGGCGTACAGTCATAATTCTCCAAAATACATGATTTCCGCTAAGTTTTTCTTACGATGAAATTGATGAGACAAGCCTACGATTAGATTTATCACAAGAAACAGTGTTATTTTGAAAACATTACCAAGAAACTGTAAGTTAGTCACAGACTCATATTACAACTATTATTCGTCAGTCGTGATTCAAATTTAACAGCTGTAACGAAATCTCTGACGCATTCCTTAAAAAACTTTAAATAGGATTATTCATAGATAATTGCTTATCTTATCGAGAGAGATTGAGTTTATTTTTAATCCTATTTGCAAATACAGCCTTGCTAAGGTCATCTATCTATATTTTGGTAATTAGTTTCTATTCTATACAATTTGTATTATAAAAACATTGATTTGTCTAAGTCAAGTCAGAATCGACTTAGTGCAGACGTACTGATTGAACTCTGTGAACTTAACAACACATAGGTTTAAGGAACATTATAAATGACCCCATTTTCCTAAAGGTTTGAGCTTCTCTTTACAAATCAAACGTTTTTGTCACTACTGTCAATAGTTTTTCGAAAGCTCTGATAATCATCTACTAAGTAAATAGTAGTGTAATGGATTCACTGATTGCTCAAATTGTAGGTTATCTTGATGTCGATAAAATATTATACGTGGATTAAGCCGCTATGTATTTTTTAAATATTTAGTACGTGTTCGATATTGTTGTGGGGCGGAGGTCTACTTTGATATATTAAAAGGTCTAGAAAATCTTCAATTTTGTTAATTTGGTAAGTAGGTGTGCATTTTTACGATTTTTTGCGCTTTATCGGACTCCAAATTATACAAATATAAACATTATAGTCACACAGAATTAAACCAGTATTCTGTAATAAACAGTACCTGTTTGTCTCGTCAAGTCCAATTTGTGTCCCATTGCTGACTTGCTGAGTGACACCCATAAGTCCGTCGACATCTGCTTATCAATTCCACAGTACTTCAAAAAATATCTCGCAAGTGTTTTTGCAAAACAAGCAAGGTGCAAGAGCAACCATGGGCTTGAAAAACCGTTACCAATATGGTAGATTCGCATCGTCCTTAAATCGATTGAATTGCAATAAGCAATCTGAAACGAAACTGCCTTTCTTTTGTAACTGCTTTTCTTTTCACGATACTCACAAGTATGATCATTTGATCACATAAAAAGGAATGCCTCTTCTATTAGAGTATATTTGTAAATGCATGAATAAGCATTGTCGCATTGTTTTTTATTACCAAGAATTGGTATGAATCAAAAATTGGCGCTGCCCAATGTCGGTTTGTCAACATATGCTGTTTACCAAGAACAGATAGGCCTTTCCCCTTTCCTGTTCTTATCAAAGGATTAATGATAGCGTTATCGGTTGTTGTTATACAATATATTGGCACTAGTTTGTTAGAGAGCTGGGTGGGGTTCTGTTGGTTTCATTGGTTCTTACCCAAGTGGGTTAATCTGGATTCAAAAGCTATAAACTTACAAATAAACCGTTTTTGTAGTTACTTGAGTATTTAAAAGATTTCTTGTATAATATAAAATATATGTTGAACATAATTTTGTTTCTCAGAGTACAAATGGTCAGATAATGCTTGAGTAAACATCTCGAAGTTGCAATAATGAATATATTGATGCGTTACTGCTTATATCATATTTCCATGTCATTTACTGCATCAGTGATCTGACTTCAGTCTAGAACTATTCAATGTCACATTGAAATTAAAGTGATACAATCATAATATCATAGTATTGGTTTTGTAGTGCATGTTTAGGTTAATACAATGCTTGTTTTCTTTGAGATTCGGTTGGAGTTGGATAGAATTGTTCAGGTAAACTTCACTTAAATATAAAAAAAAAACTCTTTCAAAATTGCAATTTTTATGTAATAAGCCGGTAAACGAGTAGACGGGTCACCTGATAGTAAGCAATCGATGTCGCCCACAGACGCCCGGAACACCAGAGGCGTTACAAGTGCGTTACTGGCCTCTTGGAGATTAGGAATTTGAGTATTATTGAAGGTTCAGGGATTGAGGAGTTTGGGGAAGGCACTCACACGACGAAACTAAATTGCGATATGGTCCGTTCTCCAAATTCTAATATACATCTCGACCGTAAAGCAATCTAAATAAAATAGCGTAGGTTGGTATGAATACCCAAATAACACTGAAAATATGTAAACCCCTTCATCCATTGTAATTAAGGGCTGTGCGTGACCAAATTTTGTGAACCAGGTCACTCTAATTTTAAAGCTATTTAGACCGTACGACTACCTAGTTTCAGATCATTTACAGGGTCGCACAATACATGAGAATGCTATAAAAGTACATTAAGCATTCGTATTGTCTCGCATTAGACACTCAGTTTATGAGAAACTATTGTTTTTCCAGACAATGACGTGGTTAGTCTATAATGATCTTTGAAACTGACTTGAGATGCAGCATTGATTGAAATTGATTATTTTCTTATTAAAAAGCTTTAATTGTTTCTTCATTATCTATTGTAAATGTTCTACAGACCAAGACTGGACTTAATTAAATGTCTGTCTAACAATCTTATCTGTTTGCATCGAAATTTCGATTGATGAACTTTGTGTTACAATAATGAATTGCAAATGTAGCCGCGTCACTACGGCACCGCCCGCACCGCCATTGCATTGTTCAGCGGTGTGGAGGATGTACCTTATCCGCATGAATAATTATATTAATGAGCTTTCTATCTGAATTTAATTAGTTACTCAGCTGCCGATATAATTACATTTCTATGTAAATAATGACCATATTATTATGCATGTGGTGCGATTGAATTCTATCCCTTTTACGTGATAATTATAATGAATTACTGCATGAGACACACTGTCTGTGATTAGGTTATCGACTCGCACAATATTGACGTCATGTCATAGCTATTTTGTTATCGTTTATGATAAAAAAGTAAAAATGTCTTAAAATAAAGCTGTCAACTTAATTGGGCTATAAACAGACACAAATATATTCAAGTTTACTTATCTGTCCAAAAACGAATGCATTGTTATCCAAAATTCTCCCAGAGAATTTAAATTTAATTGACAATAAAATGACAAAACTGTACTTAAAACTTCTAAAATTGGCTTGAAAGAAATGGCACACGAATTTCTTTCTTCCCACGCTTGAAGCAAGGAATGTACCGTGGGTGAATGAAAGCAAAGCCTCGAGATAATTTAAACAGTTAATCTTTGTTTTCATACATCCTTCGTAACAAGAACATAGGTATAGAATGGAATCTGTTGAGTCTAGAGTAGATTAATGTTCATATCTACAACCGCAATTGTATTCGTGTGGCTAGGTCACGTATATTATAGCATGAAACTCGATATTTAATTGAGGTTTGCCTATTTGGAAAGAGGAGTCCTTAAGTTAATTTTAATCATTAACTTAATGCATGCATGTCGCCCCTGTTAAAGTACACTCAGGACCTGGCCCTTTTCAAGAGTTCCTCTTATTGAGGTCAGAAAAAGTTCTACGCCGTTCACCACTCGCGTTACCACTCCGATCCCGTAAACCTCCAATTTCCCCATTACTCATGACAATAATATCGATTTCAGTGCCAGAATGACTTCAACTTCTTTCAACGTGGGTTTGGCTGACAACACGAGGCTGTCCAGCCGTGTGTTGCGACCTCCTGGCGGTGGCCATACTGACATCTTCGGGGGAGAGCCCGAGCCCCAGCAGACACACCGCCGTGGACCACCTGCTTCCACCATCGGCTCCGTAGTTGGTGAGTACAGGGAACGGAACCCGGTATCTGATCTTGATTATGTTGAAACGAATTATATTTAGGTAAATTAAAATATGACACTTCTATACTTCAAAAATGAAAAAAAAATTGACATTTCATGTTTGCAAGTTCACAACTGAAATGTGCAATCCTGTTTTGGTAAAGGTCATTTAAAGAAAGAACACAAGTTTTAATGATTAATTTGTTTTAAATCCTTATTTGTTTACTTAGTCTACTTGTGTGTGTTAGTTTTACTTGGAGTTAAATTAATTAACTAATTAAGATAATTGGATGAGTCACAATCTGTTTGTGTGACCTCCAACTAATAATAGAATTAACTGTCTCTTTGAGAAATGGAAACTATTTCTAGAGTTGGTTAGATGTAACTTTTTCTTATCTGGCTCGGTGGTCGAATGGACGCGACTTCGCTACTGCCTAACAAGAGACTCATAAAGTCAATATAGCATGACTGATGAATCAGTTTTCGTAACATACATTACTATTGCATAATGAAACCTTTTACATATTAAATAAGTTATAGTTAACAAGTAAAATGTATGATTCCAGGCCAAGAAGAGCCAAAGCCAGCTAACGGCACTGACGCATCCAGCCAGAACGGTCAGAAGAGCCCACAAGAGGCGGCCCCGGCCCCCGTGGCCGATGCCCCTGAGCCCAAGGCCGCCAGCCCAGTGGCCGCGGCATCAGAACCAGCCAAGGTTGAGCCCCCCAAGCGTGTCCGCGTACCGCCCGGCGGGTTCTCCTCAGGACTCTGGTAAAGCAGCCGCACACCCGCTTAGTTTCGTCGCGCTGAAGATTCCCGGTGGGACCAGATTCATACGTTTACATTGGCCCCTCACTCATTTACTTCTCCGACTTGACGAAATCTATGTTTGTATGTTTCAGCATATTGTGAATCCATTAATGTTACGGTTTAACTAACGGAATCGTATTTACCTGACTAGTTACAACGATCTGATAGTTCTAAAATGTTCCATGTTTGCGTCATCTGCTCATAAACAAGAGCACTATACGAGATCGACATCTAGTCGGGTACGTCGAAAATAGTAGTTAAAACGTCACTTTAATAGATATGGAAAATTGGAAAGTCCTGGGTTAGGTAAAAATTGTGAATGTATATAAGTCAAGCTAAACTGTAACCAAATTGGACTTATCTGTGAAGGCGCAACGGTCCGATGTAAACGCTTCGTTAGGTTTATTTAGGGAATGCTGTGCCTTTGTGTTCCTCAAGTTGCGTTGGTTGTAGATAGTTTCGTTGAAACGAGTCGCTGCCTGGTCCCTGTCGGGTCTCTCAATGTTTGCTTGATAAGATAACGATGGTTCTTTTACAATCCTCGCAAAAGGAATTCTTTAATATTTACTGAACAGGAACATTTTTTCAATACTAGTATTATTTACCTATATAGTTAGGAAATTATTTTTCGTATTTTAGTCTTGTATTGTACCCAGCTTCTGTGTCAAAACAAAGCGTTTTGCCAAACTCTCTCTATTATGAATCTAAAGGTCACAATTTGGTTAAGATGTCCTACAAGGCCAAAGTAATTTAACACTGAACTATTTAAATTTTTATGCAAATTTCGACTCTACGTCTAGCGTTTTTAGAGATTATTATTATCTTGTAAGGCTTAAAATTGATATATGTATGTATCGATTGTATGTTAGCGTTTCGATAATTTTGATACTTTTTATAAGCAGACTGATCTGTGCCTATTTCGTGTTGATGTTGTACTTAAAATTTGTCTCAATTTAGCATTTCATGTTTTGCAGTTGTGGTTTTTATTACAAAATAACTATTGTATGCCTTCGCTGGCAAATGCGATTATGTATAATATTGATTGATAATGATAATTGTATTTTTATATGAATTACAAAATGTGAAAAACATATTTCGATGTTTTATTTTACGGTACAAAGTTACATAGTATTACGGTACAAATACCATTCTCTTTCGTTCTCAGAAAATAGAGTAAGAACTCACATAACAACACACCTGTACATTTACAACGCAACAGTTAGTTAAGAAATTTTAGCAGGTTTCTATCAGACCCATCTGACACCATAAACCAAGGAATAGTATAAAAGAAAAGTACATAGTTTTCGATTTATTATTTGATTTAGTACTGGTCGAAACTTTATAAGACTAAATTAAAACCTTATTCAAAATCTGTCATCACAGAAAAATAAAAATAATGTACAAAATGGGCGCCATACCAAAACATTCCGTCAAAATGTTAGCCAATTATAAATAAATCATAAAAATATTGCGAAACATGGCACATTCCCCTGTTGATAATATCCGTGTAAATCTACCATATTTTCAATCTGCATAAATTGATTACAATGTAAGTAGTTTCCTAGTTGCCTTATCGTATGGAGTTTGTGTATAACCTAACTTACCGAACTATAAATCGGTGTAAACTGGAAGTAATTGGTGAGACTGACCTCTTACTCGGTATAACGGTATGACACCACCGTTCGTTGAAAAGTATGAGAACAGCTACTGATAATAGTCGATCATTTGACCATATACTAGCCAACCATGTAGTTTGATCTACCAGTACTCCGCGATAAATATTGCACATCAAGCTTTGGTAAGAGAATCTACCAAGTCATCGTATTCACTGCTATTGCAATATTTATCGCCAGATAGTGTAATAGGTATGTGATCCTTGTTTCCAGCACAGGCACAGTTTTCCACACGGGCCAGAAGGCACGGTATGGAGGGCGGGGGGCGACAGACACGGCTTCTCAGCAGGTTGTTCAGCAGACTCCGAGGCGATCATCATAAATACAACACTTTAGATAAACGGTTCTCGTTTAGCTCTACCGCGTGAGTTTCTTTATGGTTATAAAACTAACATTATTGTCTATGCACTGTAAACAACTATCTCCGTATCCAAATGAGTGGGTTTGGTGTAAAAGTAGCGCTCTCATATACACCTGAGACATTTCAATTGCGATCTTAAACCCACTTGTTAAGGGTAGAGAAAGAGCAACCCCTTTTGTAGAGAAACCCCATTATTACCAGGAGTGAGGTAGTCCAGTAGAGGAAATGATTTTTTTTTGGTATGAAAGGGTAATGCCTCTTTGGCGGAGTGGTCGTAAGTGCGACTGCCGAGCAAGGGGTCTCGGGTTCGATTCCCGGGTGGGGCAAAGTATTACTGGGTTCTAAATATTCTCAGTAGTAGCACGGAGTCTGGCATTGTGCCCGGTATATGGCAATAGGATTACATGGAACTCATAACATAAATAGTGAAAAGTGGGAGATACATTGTACAGTAGTGTAATGTGCACCTCTGCCTAACCCTTCGGGGATAAAAGGCGTGATGTTATGTTATGAAAGGGTAATCTTTGTCACTCACGAATGTAATCATGTTAGGAATTCACTTCTTCGTCTGTTTAATCTGAAGTGTAACATCAGCGAAATATCTGCAGTGACAACGGGAGTCTCGAAGTGAACACTACACAGTCAGCACGAACACGCAACGAGCCTAAAAGCGTGTTTTACTTTAATATAAAGCAGTCGACTAACGAGGCCCTTCACGTGTCCAGCATGAGCGAGAGTACAGGCTGCAGCACCACCATGGATGAGGACCTGGAGATGGATCCCCAGGTCTGCCCCAAGACTTCCATGCACAACTGCTGTGGACTTGACGATGACAACTTTCCTGCTAACATCGATTTGAGGCATGCATCTTTTCTACCTCTTATTTAGTTTATGAAATCATTATAGAACATCTGTACCTACTTCAGAAGTTGCTAGGTGAAGGTTATTTATAAAATGACTGGATGCAACTTCTACTGCCAAACAAGAAACTCTAGTACTAGTAAGAGAACGACTTAGGGAGAGGGTAAAGTAACTAAGAAATTGGCTTGAAAATATTGTCAGCTGGTAGCTTGCGGCCTAAAGATGTAATTGTTATAATTACTTACCTTATGTTGTAGATACAGTGGACAATATTTGACACCCGAGCAACTGCCGGAGTTTTGTGACCAACTCCACAATCTGGTGGAAGTGATAAGAAATATACAATCGTATGCCAAAATCACAGGAGAGTACCCAAGGTAAGTAAATCTTACCTTCTGGCTGTTGTACCTGAGTATGTCTTTGAAATGTAGCAGGTATCCTTTAATTAAATTTATCCCTTTAAGGGGAAATCATTGTTTAGTAATGGTTATCCTAGAAAGATACGACATAAAAGCTCATCGGATTTTCCCCAGTGAACTAGAACGTCGGTTAGAACAAGAAGCACGAGAAGTAGCCGCAATAGCTGCGGAGGCGCGCAACGCTCGTGACGTAGTGACGCGTGTGCGTGCGCAACGACGCGCTGTGCGGGCGCACAAGAAGCATCTCGTATCGCAACTGGCAAGTTTGAGGGAAACTGGTTAGTTTTTCATACATTCATGATCGAAATCGAGATTGATAATATTTTCATGATTAACAAAGTATTTTAGTTAATCTTTATTTACGCTTCTAGCGATTACTAAAATATTCTTCTAACAATATTATCTTATGCCTTCCTCAGAGGTTAGGGAGTTAGAGAGCACGGTGCGTCTGTCAGATAGAAAGCTTTTCAAGAACTGGGAAGCGCTGAAAGACTCCACCGACCCAGCAGCATTTGAGCCTTTGCTTGATGAAATCAAGGTTTGTGTCGGAAACTGCATTTGATCCATAAAGGGAAAATTAGGTACACCTCTTTAATATACCTATTAATTATAATATTTTTGTGGTTAGAACAAGCAAACAGCTCTGGAGTGCCTGCTCCGCCTGGTGGACAGCAGGAAGGCCGCACTGTCGCGCACTGCACCACCTCCCACACCACTCCCACCTCCCGAGTCATCACTCGACACCGATGGTTGGTACCCTTGCTATTGAAATTAGATCTGATTAAATAGTACTTACCTATCCGAAATGGTAAAAATATTGGGGAGGCTTTGACTATAAACTGATTGTAAGTATATTTGGGCAATTCACACTGATGGATAAGCAACAGAATCTCCTTAAATTGCGGTGAGCGCATTGTGCGGTCCTCAAATCCCCTACCAAACATGGGGTTTATGGCAAAACTGTCGTAAGATGGGGCATATGTTCAGGTAGTCTACTACCGCCATATACTTGGTGTTATTGATGATAATGGTGATGAAGCTGAAGCCCATTACTTAGATGTAACCGAATTGTGTTTATGGGCAACTTTGGAGATTTTGATTAGCGAAAGAGTATAGAGTAGAGAGTTGGGTCTAGAGTCGGGTGTGACTGGTGGTTCGTGCGGTCCTGCCGGCCGCAAGCGCCACGAGGGCCGGCGCTCGGCGGGCAAGCGACGGCGTCGCTCGCCGCGTTCCGTGCCGCTCTCCGGGGAGCCCAGTCGACACGCGCCACCGCCGCAGGTCAGTTCAATATTATATTATTTACATCATCTCATGATGTGGAACCAGTCTTCTTCTCTTTCGTCTACCGTCTTTGATGATAACGAGCGTGAAATACGTGAATAAGTGAGCTGAAGCTCATAAAATTTTCAGTAGATAAGGATCTGTGTTCAAAAAAGATCCTACGTTGTTCGTATCCTACTATGTATAAGATAGTAGTCCATAGATGGACGTGGCTATAAATGGATCCATTTGATTCAGCAATTTAATAATCAAAAAACTTTTGGGATTTCGGATTATTTTTTACTAGAATGTTTTAGACTTCTTGAGTGCTTATTGGTCTGCAGGTCACCCTGTACATCCAGGGTACAGAGAGCACGTCCCGGTACAGGGTAGGCAGTGCTGGAGCAGTCGCCCTCACACCGCTGGAGCTGCCTTCTGGTGGAAGCGTCAGGGATATTCTCTTCTTTACCACTAATTAAATACTTGCACTACTTAATAATGATAATAAAATAAGCATCGCAATATTATTGATTTTATTGGTAGCTCAGTTGCTGTCCTCAAATGTTACTGTAGGAACTCAAGTTCACTCTATACATTAGTGAAAATTGCATGGAAATTAGTTTAGTAGTTTTTAGGTTTATCACGGACAGACAAACTTCGATTTATTTATGAGTAAGAACGGTTGAACTTTACCAAAAATGAAGTAAGCTTGATAAAACTATCCATTTTAAACCAATCTAATTATAATAACCCAAAGTAAATCCTTACTAACATTATAAATCGGAAAGTGAGTTTGTTTGTTTGTTCCGCTTTCACGCCGTAACTACTTAACCAATTGCTTTGAATTTTTGCAGAAGTAAAGTTAGAAGTCCGGATTAAATAATAGGGTACTTTTTATCCCGGAAAAAATTGATATTCCCGAGGGAAAACAAAAGTATTGGTATAGATGGCGCTGTTTGCATTGGTTTATTTCACATAGGCTACTTTTTATCCTTTTGTAACGCGAGCGAAGCCGCGGGTAAAAGCTAGTTTATAATAATTGCCAATTGATTTTCTCCAGTAGAAATTAACAATGCGTGCAATAACAATTTATGTTTCTCGATAAACATTTTACAAGCCTGCCACGTGTTTAATTAAATTGTTTATGTAATGAGTCGATCGAATCAAAGCGGTACCTATTTACCTGCTTTACTCACTTACATTTATGTAAAGTATTGTAAGTAAGTACCTAAGTAACTACTTGTACATGCTATGCTTGTATAATAATGAAACGATACACCGTTGGACTTACGCACGCGCCGATCTGAAATTTCCCCTTTTATTGACTTTTTCTTCAACACTTGAATGGAAACGTATTGTATGTTTTCAAAAACACCAGAATTATTGTACGAAATACTCGTGCTCGTGGTATTGTACGGATTTATAATTTTCTTGATTAAATCCAAAGATATGTCCTAAAATTAAAGATTATGAATATTAGATCTGCGTTATCTGTGGGTCTAATGACAACTAAACAAAGATCGGTGGCTTAACTATACCGTTCGGCGCCCGTGACAAATCATCGGATGGCCTCCCGTTCTCTATAAAAAAGAGAAGTTCAGATGAGACCCTCTGCACGGCCTCCCTTCCGTCTAGCGGCCCACGGCATTTTGGCGACTTGCCAGTTACCACCTTATAGTTCCGCCACTGGCAAGGATTTAGATCATGGCCCAAATTTTAAAGAAAACTAAATAATCAGATTAGTCCGTCACAGAAATAAAAGCACGAAAGTATATCTGAATTACAAACCACGTTTATTTCCAAGTGTTTATTTTACAAAGATCACATTACGTTACGGACATCGCTCCGGTTTGTTACGCTCGCACCATGTCCTCGGCGTTACACTACTATAACCTAGGGCTTCTTCTCCTCGGCTGCTGGGGCGGCAGTCTCCGCGGCTGCCGGCGCTGCTGCAGCTGCAGCTGGTGCAGCCGGCGCGTCAGAACTTGGTGCTTCTGATTTTACCTGGAAACAAATTAATGGTTTAGTTGGTACTTATTTTGTCGTCACCTCGGAAATATAAAATAGTCAGGATGCTTTTTGGAAGACTTGGTGATTTATAGGTCTTTGTCCTCCTATGTGAAAATATATGCTGCAGTAGGCTAAGCATGCACTCATTGGAGCGTTCTCTAACTTCACTACTGCTCGAACACCTGCCGCAATTTTGCCGCCTGATAGTGCGTTCTGATAGATAACTGGGGCTCGAAACAGCGCTTGTGTTGTATTTCGCCGTAGTGAGGTTCCTGGACGTCCAGTCGTCCCTTCTATTCCTAATCCCCATTCCTAAATCAAAAGATCGATAACGCACTGAAATTAGTGCCCACAGGCGGCGTCGATTGCTTGCTATCAGGTAATTCGTCTTTTAAAACTAAATGTATTGGACCTTCGATAACTCCACTCACATGGTGAAATGCCGAATACTATGCAAGGGTTGTTACACTGCGGAACATGTATATCGCAGAAAACACACATTACACATTCCAGCACCGAAGATCCCTTTCTAGAAAAACTCTAAAGAATAAAAGTAGGACATAATAGTAGTGGAACTAACTTCAGCTACGGCGGCGGCGGCCGCTTCAGATGTGACTTCGGTGGGAGCGGCTGAGGGTGACGATGAAGGTGTCTCCTCTTTCTTTTCCTCCTCTGGCGCGGGTGCACCATGGCTCATCTGCAATAATAGTTTACATCAGACGTCAGGTACCTACAGATAATTTGTCACTCTATAAATCTTGGTATCTAAAATGGCATCTCGCTTAGGTATGCGACTATATAACGTTGCCCGATGCTAAGATTTTCTCTTGACTTTGTTCATACTCAAGATTCTGAACAGCTATTTGTGGATCACACAAACAATTGTTCCATCTAGGAATTGAAACCAACCGATAAGTACTGAGTACCTTGCACAGCAGCCGGTTGCCCAGCCTCTGCGTGAACTATGCTGTCAAAAGTCAAGTTAAAAACAATTTTTCTGCATTATGCGGTGGTTGAGTGTTTGTTAAATGATTTAAGCAACCACAACGGAAAAGCACAGTTCTGAAAATCAGCTTTTCAGGTAACTAGGTTATCTATTCTTCTTAGGTCTTCAGTAATTTAGGTACCTAACCTACCTGGGTGACCTAGGTATTGTGTTCAAATTATACACACCATTAGCTACAGTTAGAAATTGAATCGCTGTTGTTAGCATAAAATGTGATTCGTCGCGGTTTAGATTTGTAAATTGTTAATAGTTTGATAGCTATTAATGTACTACCTACATTTTCTCATTTATTACGTTTTACATTAAATTATTAAATGACTTTTATTAATAATGGAGTCTCGGAACTTCAGTAGGGTATAAATATTAATATTATGTTCTTTATGTCTGACTGGGAATGAGATGTTCAGACAGACATCGAACCTGTATTTTATTACTTTGTACCGTACCTATAATAATGTTGGAAAGTCTTATAAATAAATATATCCGCATAGGCCGTGAAAGTGAGACTTTAGCGACTACAATTTGCATATAAGGGTTGGGGCCGTTGTCGGCATGCCCCGACGGACAGACAACCGCATTGTACCCGCGGATCCGCGGTTGCTTGTGTAAGTCCAGCAAGGACTCTAGTCTAGAATAATCTATGCTATATTACAATGCAACTTTCAAGATTAAGGTAATGTTGGTTAATACTGGGCCTTTATTAGCGCACAACTGAGGATCTTAGCACTTAGCTAAAACGGGGAAAGTCTCAAAATAACTTGCCACGGATTAGTTACGAAAGCAGGTAGGTAAAGTAAGTTCATTATTTTTTATCAATTTGGAATTTGCAAATTTATATATCTCTAAGCAAACTAAAAGGTTATTATTTACGTTTGTTTCTACAGATTCTAGGTAAACTGTCCTCGTGGGACAATCTTCGTCATCCTTGGTTTGATTAGTAGGTTTACTCCGGCTTTCCTACACAAGGACACCATGGAATGGTTAGGTAATGATATTTTTTTTCACAAATTAGACAAATCGTTAAGCTATATTCTTTTAGTTTTAGCAGCCTTTCCATAGGTTAATGAGCCTACCGGTTTAATTTAAAATAAGTAGAGCAATCCTTCTAATTTTTTTAATTCTTAGTACCTATTAAGCTAGAGTTGAGCTCGTTTTTTATGGCTAAAGAAACGTGAACAGGGTCATAAATGGCACTAGTAAATAAACGTTGAATCGCGGCACAATAATTGGTAAAACCATGACAAAACAAGAAACACAACATTCGGAGTTTGTTCAAATCACAAATAGATAAAGTTAGCACGTTAATAAATTGCCTACCTGTAAGGCCACGAAGGCGAATAAAGCGACAGCCACTAGAACCTTCATATTCACAATCGTCCAACTTAATGACAATAAAACTTGAAAAGTGTACGGCTTTAATTTATAACAGAAGACGCGTAACAGCCTGGGAGTTTGTAACCAAAATAACTATTATGATTCGTTCAATAATGAGCGCTGTTTATAAAACAAAGCTTGGCGGAACAATTAAAATCGTTATCGTTTTATGTGCTTGTTTCTAATTTGCCGCGCGTTCTTGTTCAATATTGCTATAGTTGTGACGTAAATCGATCAGGCGTCCATGATTTTTCCGTTGGCAGGTATTGATATGGGACTTTCTATTTTTTCTAACACACTATCAAAGGGAAGGGAGTCTTTCTTACGGCGATGCACTAGGGACCCGATAGGTCGGTTGGGCAGATGAACTAGAATAAAAGTAGGGGACTTCCAGATCGGCCGATTGAAAGTTACCTTCATTCAGCAGTAGCTCCCTGTGCTCGTTTGCAGTAAATAAAATTGGTTGATAGGAATAGATTGATCTGTTTAACATCAGTTCATAATTAATTGATTGATAAGATAGATGTGGTTATAAGACTGCCTCGATGGCCGAGTCGTCGCAAGTGCGACTGCCGGGCAAGGGGTCTCGGGTTCGATTCCCGGGTCGGGCAAAGTATTAGTGGGTTTTTTTTTTTAATCTCAGTAGTAGCACGGAGTCTGGAAACGTGCCCGGTATATGGCAATAGGCTCACCTCCTATTACATGGGACTCATAAAATAAAAAGTGAAAAGTGAGTGTTACTTCTGTGTGTACCTCTGCCTACCCCTTCGGGGATAAAGGCGGGTTGTGTTATAGATATGGTTTTAAGTTGATAAACTAAATGCACCCAGATATCCCAATCCCAAACGGATAATAAATCAATGGTCTCTGTAGCGGTCACAATCATAACATAATTAGTTTATAATTTAGGTACTTCTAACTAACTAAAACAATAGCGTGAGAAGGATATACCCATGCAGTAATAACATGGTGACACATACAACAAAAATGTACTGACTTGTCCTCAAATGTAAACATTAGGAGTCATCCTACAAATCAATGAAACTTAAGATTTTTCCATGCACAGCGTAGTGATTAGATGAACAAGAATCTTATAGTTACACGTGTTTTAATTTTTCCTTTATCAATTTTATGGCCACCTTACTATTAATTCTTTGATTAATTCTTTTATCAAACTGTTTGAGTTCTAGTAGAGATTGAGATCATCCTTTGGCTTTGGGTTAAGGCTTTCTTTCATTTCTGTACATGGCTTTGAGCATTTCATCACCAACATGCTGCTGGACTAATCCTTGGTACATTCATTGAGGTTAAATTTATTTCACAGAAATACAAATTAATTATAATTAAAAGGAAAGCTGTCGCAAGAAGATATACTTATTTTTCTGGAATAAGTAGGTGGTAAACGATCACACGCATTAGTATCACTTAATTATAAGCAGACAGCGCCTCGGTAATTTCCCATGGACACCTGTAACTGCAAGTACCTACTACAACACAAGAGGAGTATGCGTGCATAGTCTGATTGTTTGTAAGGATGGAGGTATTGGGTCTCCGCTCCGGTACCCTCTATCATAAATCACGCCAACGTTGTTTTGTGTAAAATTGCGGCATCACTGATCGAGCGGGCCCGTAGGCCCATTCGTGCTGAAGCATGGCTTTCCTACTTTTTAGCCTGAATTGTATCAAATTGTATCAAAAGTACTAAAATAACGTAATAACTTTACGTTATTTTAGTACTTTTGATACAATTTTAGACTCTGGTATGTGTTCTAAAATTACGACCAACGATCGTAAAATGGCAGCAAGCAGCATCCCTTAATTTTTAAGTGACCTAACTGCAATTCCTAAGTTGAAGAGAGGATTACCTACGGTATAGGTATTGGAGGCAACATGTTTAAGTGCTATGCAAAGTGTCGAAGGTTCGATTCCCGCACAGAACAATTATTTGTGTGATCCAATGCAAATTGAAGTCCTTGGTCTGGGTGTGAGTGTGATGTGGTATGAGAAATTGTAAGTGTACCTATTTGCAAACATTTTCAGGACACACAAATCCTACTTAGTATGAAGCCATACGTTTGAACTATAGGTACCTACACAAGCAGTGATTGAATATGCACGCGCACAGTTCATAGCTCGTAGGTACCATGCTCGCTCGTCACAAGCAGCGCAATCACCAGTCCCGTGTTTTGGACTCTAGATTCTTCATAATATGGACATAGGACAACATGTCCATTCCATACCATAGGCCATGTAGTAGTACCGTGGTATGGCCATTGGGCTATGTAGTAGCGTAGTATGATAAAAAAGTAGGTAGGTAAACTAATTATTTGTCTGACGCCTCAAAGAGCCATCAGACCACCACAGATGGGGCCCAATAGAGCTGATGCCGAAACCGAGCCGCGGAGGACTTAACGGGTTGCCAGGGCTCCGACTCGAAGTGCTAGAGTAGGAAAGGGGCGGTTTTTAGTCAGTCAGAGTCTGACACTCCCTCCCACCTCACCCGGGCGGGAGAAGTTATTGGATGATTTTAATATTTGTCAGACATCTCACTGGTGGTTTAACTATGAACATAATAATAACATTGACGGCACGGTTGGTGCGGTGGTTGGGCAACTGGCTGCCGCGAAACGTGTCGCAACGTGTCGCGGGTTCGATTCCCGCACAGAGCAACTCTTAGTGTGATCCACAAATTGTTGTTCCGGTTCTGGGTGTCATGAGTATGTGAACTTATATGTTTGTAAACGCGCTTACGACACAGGAGAAAATCCTAGTGTGGGCAACGTTTTATAAAAACAAAACATAGTAATGTTTGAAATATAGCAATATGAATAAAAAAAATTGACAATGAAGACGGCAATTTTGATAATAAAAGTTGTAATTTTTGTGTTGCTTAATGGGTGAGTATGTATCCGAACGAAGAGAATATTTCGAATGTCAAATGCACGTTCCATTATACGCTCGGGAATTAATATCTAAGCAAAACACGCTGATTTTAAATGTTAGTCATTAAAAGATCTTAATCTGAATTCAATATGATTCGGAACAGAGATTATAAATTTATGAATTTATAAAAAGGCATATTTTATTTTAAAGAACTGAATTCCATTATCAATAAATGTATTATTGTGATGTTCGGAACGTGTTCTAAAAAACCTTGAGACGTTGGCATTTTTGGCATTTCGTTGGCTCTCGTTTGGCAGATGGGAAAAATGAATTGATCGAAAAGAAAAATCTTTGCCAGGATTATCTGAATGATGTCATTTGAGTGATCTAAAATCTAAATAAGATATTAATTCTGTTTGTTTATAAAATAATTTAGTTAGAAAAATGGCTTCGCGCGGTGGTATTATGGTGACTGGTACGAATGGAGCCGATTTCGAACACAGAGAGAAAATAGCAGCACAATATCAGATTAGGTACGTAATTTGGCTTATTTACAAGTATTTAAGGCCGTACGGAAGAATTTAATTGGATGTTGAATGAGAACTTGATCTACAGTTGATATATTTTTTCGACCAAGTTCCGTCAAATTATTTTTAGACAAAAGCAGTCGATAGCGAATAATGTTTCGCGCCAATTATTTGAAAAGGCTCCCACATTTGTATATAACACAGAAATAATGAATGGTATTATCTTCCTTCTCAGAATTCCTGTGAAGTCGTTGATAAACAAAAATGACATTGTGTTGTCAGTAAAACCAAAACAATGTAGTGTGCTCAGTTTTAGGTGTTACGACACGCATTTCCTAGAATATAAACCTTTAATATAGCAATACCTACCGTAATTGGTGCTAAAAATCCATAATATAAAGATTCATGATGAGTGAAAGTATTGTATTTGCACCTACACTGTTCCCAGGCTAGCCATATGTTGCACATGTTGGCTTGTGACATCATAGCATGTCAATCATCTTCCTGTATATCAAAAGAAACCATACATAATATTTTATGAGTAATACGCCCCAACATAAAACTTTATAATGCCTAACTTCCTTAGTAAATTACTGAGAAATCAAACAGTTCATGATTTTGTGTGCTTGTAAATTTAATGTCTTCGTTATTTTACAGAATTGGTTATAGCTTAGCATTGAATTAGAATTAATTAAGTGCTAAACACTAATGTGTAACTAGTACTTTTTAATTGATTGATTTATTATAAGAAATACTTTATAATAAGCAACCAAAGGCAAGAATTCACATTATATATTCTATGACAAATCTATCTTGCCTAATTGAGTATGCCTCTACAGTTTACATGCAAGCAATCTTTTTTTTCATAAAGGGTAGGTGCTTGGCCGCTATCTCGCTTGATGGTAATCTTATTGGAAAAGTCCTTTGGCAAAAGACAAACTTGATTAGTATAGATTTATTATTTAGATTAAGTTTTGATGTAATATAAATACAGTACAACATATTGAATCTTTGTGCTGTTAATTCAGTTGTTCAATGAATACCCTCCAATTAATAGTTAATTATATTATTAATGTTTCACATTCCAGTGCTTTAAACAAGTCTCGTCTGAAGTACTGTGTGTTCTTCCACCACATAATGTTCCTGGTAATGCTGGCGAAGCTCTCCGCAGACATCCTCGACAAACTCGACATATTTATCCTAGAAATAGAAGAGTTGCAGATACCACAGGTAAACTTCTGTTCCCGAGACACTAAGATCTGACTGAATCTTGTAAACAAAACATATTTTTGTATAACAACTCGGCAATTTTATTATATATTTTAACATTTTATTAAATAGACCATTAAATTGATTCTTGCATTAAACAACTATTTGTGTAGGTAAGTTACCTACACAAATAAATTGTGAGTTACCTAAGGTAACTCACAATTTATTTTCGTAAATTGTGAGTTACCTAAGGTAACTCACAATTTTTTTTTTTACCTAAGGTAACACTTTAGTTACCTAAGGTAACTCACAATTTATTTTCATGGTCTCTATGAGAAATATTCTTATTCTTAACCTGTTGAAAATTGTTGAAAATCATCCCCTAAATTTGTTCATACAAAAGTAGTCTCTAAACATTGGAAATAAGGTCTATAATGCAGTTAGTGGAGAGCGGTCACCGGTGACCGCTTCAGGATATGCGGGTTAAATTATGTTTATTTATAACTTGATGAGAAAACCCTAGTGTACATTTTTTACGTTTTACTTGTATAATTTCAGCCCCTGTGGTGGGAGTACATCTGGTGCCTCTCCCTCCTCCTATCCTTCTTGGGTCTATCCGCAATCAAACGCAACAACATAAAATATCTCCGACGGTATATGTACGGTATCACTGCACTGGGCTTCGGACCGCTATTGTACTGTGTGCTGTACTACTGCGGAGATGTATGGAGGTACCTGACCATGGATGAGGATGAGGATGACAGCAGTGAAGTGGATATTGAGCTGTGGCAGGTGGGTGTGAGTTTTATGTTGTGAAGTGAGAAAGGACTATGAAATTGTATATTTTATATCAACAAACATTTTTGGGATAGCAACATGTTTTTAGGAGTATTGAACTCTCATAACAGCAGCTATTTCGATGTACTGCTGGATATAGGCTTTTCTAATAGCACTCCAATAAGGTCAATCGTCAACACTTGTATCCAACTTCAGTCTGTCACTTTATGATATCATCACTCTTCCAAGTTGTGGGCAACTTATCTAGCAGTTTTATGAAACCTTAGACCTGGGGGCTTACTCTTGAATCCAATTCCGATGGATCGACCATGGTATTGACATTGTAATTTCGTACTATTGAGGTGCAACGCTAGCCCCCATTGCATCCGTATTGCGTGGGTATTTAATGAACTAAATGGTATTGAGTTTGGGTTTTATATTCCGTACTCTGAATGCTATTGTAACAGCTATGATGGGGTTTGTATAGTTTTGACTAATTGATGATTTGGCTTGAATAATTATTGAGATTTTATTAGATTGAAATTGCATTGATATTGTGATTGGTTTCAAGAGTGAGCATTCTGTTTCTTGACGTTGGTGAGATTTAACTGACAGAGATATTTGAGATATTTAACGTAGTTCAGTTAATAACACTATGTTTCTCAATTCCAGGGCTACCCCTACGGCCTTCTGTGGTACGCGTTCGTGCTCCTCGCCTCACAAATACACTTTTTCCAACTCTACTTCTCATTCAATCTGCTAAAAGCTTGGCGTGCAAGAGGCGCGCTAAGGAAATCCGACTAATACATTAGTACTTACGGTTCATTTTCCCTTGTTCATACACCACACTGCCAGAGTGAATGAAATAGTCAATGGATGGACATTTACGAGATAAGAACAGAATAAAAAGCTATTGTGAAAAGAAAGAGGTGATATACCAACTGGCAAATTATCATTTAGTTGTAGCCAATCATGAACATTTAAAACTTCTTATAGGGTACACCGAGGTTGTGTTTATAAACCCACTATTTATACTGTAAACTTGCAAACAATTTGTATCGACTTTGTCAGCATTCATAATGTACCTTTTAGTCAATATTTTTATAATTTTGCACACAATAATGTACTCTGTGCTGTTAAATGCCCCAATAATAAGATCATTTTTGTGTAATTTGAAAAGACAATAGCCAATTGTTTCTCTGAACAAATAGTTTCAAAAGCATTGTATTAGTAGAGAAATAAATCCATTGCGTAACTAATTAATAATTCTAACTGACAAATACTGAATACATAAGGAGTAAATACGGAAATTTAGAAACATTCTAGTTTGTTGTATAATGAATAGTAAAAGATAACACACTCAATGTATAAAGTAGATAAGCAGAAAATGTAAGTTAACATCTATTTTAGATACGCCGTAGTATTTTTAATAGTATAAATATAGTTTCGAAGCGCAAATGACATTTTAAATAACGTATGACTGGGTTAGCTGCCATTTTGTTTGTGCAATATAAGTGCAATAATGTTAACGCCATCTAGTTAAGGTGCGAGTAAATACTCAATAAACAATATGATGGACTAACCCAGTCAGAATATAACATTTTTCAATCTACATATATTAAACTAAATAGTAAATATGTACTTATCAATGTATAGTATTCTAATTTGTTATTACATTTCATAAAAGTTATCGTTTTAGTACTCGCCAGTTGGCGCCACTGGCGCTTAAAGTCGTTGGGGTGCTTTTAAGCATGATAACTGTAATTTGATATATTTTGGGAGGTTTTAAAATCGCGACTTTTGTTATAAATGGCGTGTAAAAAAGCAATTTATGATGGTGTGGAAATTTGACTGAATAGTTGAATTTTTAAGTTATAAAATATATTATTTATAATTATATTGTAAAAGTAAAAGGAATCTTTATTTATTTAACAGATTTGAAGCAGCAGTAATTGTAATGGAATAATGTGCCACGGTAAATTAAAAGTTTAACGAATGTTCAAATTAGTGGTTACAATATTTTGTCCTAGGCTTTGCGTTTGAACTGTCTAAATGCCTGAGAGTTCTAGACGAATTATGTAAATTAACTTGACCTTTTTGTCCCTGAAACGCAAACCTAGATACAAGGGCCTATAAAACATGTTGTAGGTGTAAGAATGTAAATAAAGCGATATTATTACGTTTCAGTTCAATTTATAATAGACTAAGTGTTTGTTTGTTCTAAAGTTTTCCCATGGTATATTTGTTTTTTAATAATAAAATATTTTGTCAAAATATTGTGTGTTCTGTCAAATTTTACTGTTACTTAAATAAGTTATGCATTTACGATACAACGATGTAGTTTCGGCAGCCTAAAGCAGGTCACACTGCCATCTATTGACCGAGCGCAAATAAATCGGGGTTTATCGGTTTGATCTATATCCCTAATACCGCCTGAGATTGTTTAAATGCGAGTGGTTATGACGGTTAACTTGCTGGCCCACCTAACTAGTCTAACGCCTGATATTTTTTTTATGGCATAAGCCGGTAAACGAGCAGACGTATCATCTGATGGTAAGCAATCGGCGTCGCCCATGGACACCTAGGACACCAGAGGCGTTACAAGTGCGTTACCGGCCTTTTGGGGATTAGGAGTTTGAGGATCGTTGGGGATTCAGGAATTGGGGAGATTAGGGAAGGTTAGGGTAATTGGGCCTTTGGTAACCTCACTCACACGACGAAACACAACGCAAGCTTTGCTTCACGTCGGTTTTCTGTGAGGCCGTGGTATCACTCCGGTCGAGCTGGCCCATTCGTGGCGAAGCATGGCTCTCCCACACTTATGATATCAAATGTTCATACTTATTTACAACCTCCCTAAAATTTGGGTCTTCAAAGGCGACATTTCAACAACGCTAATCTTTATGTTTATCCTGAAAAGCGGTCGCTCGGGAGACGACCTCCAAGCGCGTTCGAAGCGAGTACATCCAACAACAACAACCGATTTATCTAAAAAAAACAACATAATTCCATGTGACTACCAAAGGGCACACGATAAGGTGTTGTAAATTAATATTATAAATGGGATTACATGATTATGAGGATTTTGTTCATGTGTACTACGATTAATAACGTATTTACCCAGTCTAATCTTTTTCTAATTCGTTTCTATTTGTTTTACAATGTCCATGTGATCAGTGCATGTCTCAATAATTGCTATCTTGATAAGACTTGGATGTTTTGATGATGAGTCTATTTAAGTAGAGCTTTTGTACTTTACTTCACTCGAGTTAAAATAAGGAGAAAGGGGAAAAGGTAACTTTATAACGTATTTGGAGTTTCATGTTATAAGTATTCCGCGCGCGCCTCAAAGAGCTATCAGACCACCACAGATGGGGCCCAACAGGGCTGGTCGGATTCCGCAATTCGGAGTCGCGAAGAACCTAACAGGTTACCGGGGCTCCGGCTCGACGTGCAGGAGAAGGAACGGGGTGGTTTTTAGTCAGTAAGTGTCTGACACTTCCTCCCGCCTCACCCAGGCGGGAGAAGTCATTCATGACTTTCCTCCCTTAAAAAAATACATACATTCAGAAAGGTTTAACTTCCAAACTTAGTTTATTATATTGCTGTAACATGGCTCTAATGACTACATAACAATATTCAAAAATACACTACATTTTCCAATTCAAATTCAGAACTTGGTAATATCTTCGTAGTTACGTGTAAATAACGATAGATGGCGTGATATGCATAGTTTTTCATCATATTTTAAAATATTTCTGGAGGACACAATACACTACGTTTCTCTGTATAATCTTACCTGAATTTAGATAGGTATCTGTATAGGAAACAACACAAAGTCCCAATCAACAAATCAAATCGCGAAGTACCTAATTTTCAATTATTTCGAGACTGCAAGTGTTAATCGTCACGTCATGTCTATAATAAGATTGAGTTATCAACAATATGTGATGGATCTGTCATCGGACCATATTTCAATCTAAAAACGTAAAATAATTACCGATAACTAGATTTAACTGGTTAGATTACTTATTAAACTTTGTACATAATTAAAGATAACGATAAAAAGCTGTGGAAAGTACAGGTTTAGGATTTAGCGTACCTAATGATACCTAAGTTAATAATATGTCAACACAAAATGTATATACTAAATCCTTTTAATCAAAATCAAGTGGGATTTGAGTGTGGTAATCGTGGAAATTTTCGAAATTTATCGCATTTCAACGTAAGCTCGTCGGACGGCAAACGACCGGCGACCGTAAGGATTACTTATCAATCATTAATGGATTAATTTGAAGGAATTTGAAGATGTTTTGAATTGTTACAACCGATTATCTGCCAGATTACTTGGCAATCGATCAACTTAGATTGGTGATAACATTACCTACTAAGCTATAGGTACGTATCACTTGTTTTTAACATGCAGGTACATAATCAATGGGTGTGGATTGTGTATTTTAATCTTCGATTAGGTCATAAAATAAGGTTCTTTTTTTGTAGATAACTTATGGATTAGTAAGCTACTAACGGTGTGGGCGTCTGATAATAATGTTTTGATTAGGTGCTGTAAATCTGTCTCGGTTCCGATACACGAGTCCGACAGATTAAAAAAAGATTTCTAATAAAAAATCCACTGAGTAGGAGTCCTAATATTTGCTACCTGGGGGCTATAGGTGAGACTCCTGTTAGATAGATGCAATAGAACTATGGGAATAACGAGTTAAGTAAAACGTGGAAGAGCGATGCTTCGGCATCTTTAACGCAATCACTGTCCTGCGGATTTTTACAGTGCCCGACTTAATGGGCCGCCTCGACCGGAGTGATATCACGGCCTCATTGAAAACCGGCGTGAAACAACGCTTGAGGAGATTACCGGAGGCCCAATCCTCGCCCCATCCCAATTCCTCAATTCTATTTAACATTTCAAAATAAAACAACAGTTTTGCTAGCGGTCTGAACAGTAAGTATATTGTTTATTGAATCGTGTGGGCGTGTCGTCATTCGTCATCAGCTATATGGACCTCGTCATCAGATCCTTCATCAGCAGTCGGTGGGCTGCCAGCGTCGGCGGAGTCCGGCGTCGTACGCCTCCACTTCGCACGACGGTTTTGAAACCATGTTTTTACCTAGAGAAGAGAGTAGTGTTTAGTTAGGGCATGGTCAAATAAACTATTGATTTGTATATCCATCTCCTAACATGTAAGGGGACGAGGATTCAAATGCATGAATACTAAGAATCGCATGAACCTGCTACTTAATCTGTGGCGTCCGCGTATTTATACTGTATTGCTATAAAGCCGATGACAGGCGCCCTCTTGCTAACTTTAACGAAGATAAATATAAATAATAAGCTAATATTGGAAATGTGTCTATATTTTTAACCGACTTAAAAATAACAGGCCCTGCGCGTGCTATTTCTTACTTTGGTATAATAGAAAATAGTTTAATAGTATTCCCTCTATCTGCCAACAGTGTGGCGCCATCTCAATTTCCGCCTTTGTCAATTTAACACACAAACTACTCAGAAGAATAGAAGTAGTATAAGCAGACATGAATTACCTGTCGATCACTAAGTCGCAGTGTATTCGCAAGAGCTCGTCTTTCGTCGGGGCTTAGGTACTTGCTGGCGCTGAACCTTCGCTCTAGGGCCCCTGTCTGAGCTGCCGTGAAGCGCACCTGTCCACCTTTCCGTCTGCCGCCTAACCCCCACCATGGATTGCAGCAGCTCGGCGGTACTGAGGACAAGAGGATATTTTTTTAGTTATCAGGTAAATAAGTAGGTATTGATAATTCTCAACTAAAAT